CCAGGTGACAGAGCAAGACTGTCTAAAAAAAAAAAAAAGAAAGAAAAGAAAAGAAAAAACTACAAGTAATAAAATACATCATTTTTTAAAAAATTGTGAGCTGTGTACTGGTCAAAAAATAAGGCTATAAGAATGGCACATCTCCTGGTTAAAGGGAAGGAAGGTGTAGAGAAGAATGGCTATACAGATATATCTTTTTTACAGTATTTTAAATCACACCTTTTCTGATAATACAAGTAATACATGCTGATTGCAGAAAACTTAAGAAAAAGAAAAATGAAGGAAACAAAATCACTCATAATCCCACAAACTATAGATAATGAACTGTAAACATCCTGGTGTATTTCCTTGCATTTTTCTTCACACATTCTTATATTTTTTAAATATGTAACTGAGATCACACTGTAAATGTGGCCTATTTCCTGTTTTATGTCATTTACCTTTCTGGTATGAGCTCTTTCCACAAGTCTATTGTATGAATGCCCTACAATTTATTTGTCCACTTATCTATCGGTAGACTATTAGGTTCTTCCCAACTGTTCATTGTAATAATCCCGAGGTTTACTTAGGATTTCCATTCCTAAATATCTTACCATATCTCTGATTTCATGGGATAGAGTTCCTAGAAAGTGAATCACTGGCATCAAAGGGTATACATGTTTTAAAGCTTTTGATGAATCTCATTAGGTTGTCTTTCAAAGAGTTTGTTCCAATTTATCCTCCTACCAGTGTAGGACTATGCATTATCAGGTTTTCCTTGCTAATTTTCTAGATTTAAAAAAGCATCCTGTTTTAATATTTATTTGATTATTAGTAGGGATAGACATTTTTTCATGTTAATGAGTCAATTATATTTCCTATTTTATAAACTCTCCATATTTCCCCTTGAATGTTAGTGTTTTTTAAAAAAATTGATTTATATGAGTTCTTTATAGTTAAGAATATTATTATTAATAAGGGGAGGAAATTCTTTATGAAAACCTAACATCAGAACTTCTTTGAATATCAAGTTTCCTGATTAACTGAAAATGACTTTTGATTTATAAAAATCCTATCTACATATAGCTAACATATAAAGCAAGATATATCTCCCAACCTTGGCCTAAAGAATTGGCTAGTACATGCCGGGACACAGTGGCTCACGCATGTAATCCTAGCACTTTGGGAGGCCAAGGCAGGAAGATAGCTTGAGGCCAGGAGTTTGAGACCAGCCTGAGCAATATGGTGGGACCCAGACTCTACAAAAAATAGAAAAATTAGCCAGGCATGGTGGCATGTGTCTATAGTCCCAGCTACTTGAGAGGCTAGGGCAGGAGGATCACTTGAGCCCAGGAGTTTGAGGCTGCAGTGAGCCATGATGATGCCATTGCACTCTAGCCCAAGCAACAGAGCGAGACCCTGTCTCAATATATATATATAAAATAAAAATAAAGAAGAATTGGCTAGTAAGAGGAAAGCAATGTCCTCAGACATGCTACATGGTATACAGAGAGAATGTTAAAAGTATGCCTAGTGCTAATATAAGCAATTTCACATATATGCCTATCAAGAGGAATATTTATGGCCTGTCTCTGATCTTTCGCAGGGTTCAGCACACAGTAGGCAGTGATTACAACTAAGCTACATATATGTGGACTGAAGCACAGACCCCTGCATTATGCACACATACACCCGACACACTTGCAGCAGCAGCAAAGATAGAAGAAATGAGCAGTTTGGTATCACACCTATTCCAGCTTCATCACATACAAATTATAGGAACTTACACAGAGGTGTTACACTTATTGCCTCATCTGTAAAATGGGGATAATACCGATCTCACGGGGTTGTTACTTGTCTTAATTGAGAGAAAGGAAAATAACTTAGCACAGTGTCCAGTATGTAGTAGAAACTCAATAAATTCTAGCAACTTTCCTCTTCTTGGGAACACTACTTGTTATATAGGCCTTCCTTCCTCAATACTGCCCTCCAGTGGATTAGGATTTTCCTCCCCTGTGTACGGTGGGCCCCACATGCAACAGATCCAGTAGAGGAAAAGCTAGATTTCAAAAACAGGTAAAGTTTATTTTCCCGTTTACCAAAGAGGCTTTATTTTAATTTTAGACTAGGAGATATTTAAATTACGGATTGATCTACACAAGTATAGTTGATTTGTAGTTGTTCAGGAGTTTGTTTCCTATCTAAATTTCCTATCTAAATCTAGCTGGTTTCCCATCTACCTATCTTCCCACCCCCACCGATTTTTTCCCAAGAATTGGTGACCACCCTGACTTTCTTGTTCAATTCAGCCTTTCCTCCAGGCAACACCCCCTTGGTTTTACTCACCCACACAGTTGTCACAGATGCTGCAATGGGAGGCCCGGGGAGGCCGGAAGATCTTACATGTATAACAGTATTTCAGTTTCACAATCTGGTTGTTTATCTGGAAATTCTTGATACGAGGGGGTGGTCGCTGGCCCTGAGGCACCGCACCATTGGTAGCTTCTGTAAATCAGTAAAGACAGTTAACATGAAAGCTAGCCATTATTTGAGCCCAAAAGTCTCACCACCTCTCCAAAAGCAATGGGGGAAGAGGGTGATCAAAGGTTCCCTTAGCCCGCTGTCTTCTCTAGGCGAGCATTTCCAGACTATACTTTAACATCCCAGAGTGTCCCCCACAAAAAAATTCCACTGAGTGCCATGCAGTTCTGTTGTGCACGTACAAAAAAGTGTTTCTTCAAGGTTTTTTTTCTGAGTACAAAGAAAAACCTTCATAAAAGAAAAATGGCTAAAAAATATATGAAATGAAAACATCCAACTTCACTAATACTCAGAGAAATAAAAATTAAAACACAAAGATACCATTTCTACCAATTATATTAACAAATAGTAAAAAGAATAAAAATACCCAGTGCTGGCAAGGGTGGACAAAGGCCATTCTTATAGCTTACCAGTGAGCAACATGCCAGCAGCCACCAAAGATTTAAATGTGTAAGCAGAGTTGCACAGTGGAAGTGTGCTGGGCCCATAAATGTGTATACTCTTCGACATAGCAATTCTACCTCTGGGAACTTATCAAAATTATAAAGAGATATACAAAAGATCTTTATAAGGATATTTGTCACAGAGTCCCTTTTAATAATGAAAAACTAAAAATAACCTCAATGTCACAATAAGAAGTTGGTTAAGTAAATTATGATATATGCATAGAATGGAGTATTATGGAGCCATTTAAAATGATATAGATGAACGCATGGTGACACAGGAAAATACTCACAATATATCACAAAACGAAAATGCATGCTAAAAAGCAATATATATAAAAGGATACTATCTTACAAACATAAAATATATGCATGAAAAAAGACTGGTGATAATTAGAATTAGAAAAACAGTTATTAAAATGAGAGTAATACATGCTTATTGTAAAAAAGCTGGAAAAAACAAAATATAAATAAGAAAATATAAAATTATTGACATTCCCTCAACTCGAGATAGTCATACATTTTGGTATATTTCCTTCCAATCTTCTCTTCACAGATAAACATTCATGATTTTTAAAAATTTGAGACCATATTATAAATGTAATTTTATACCCTGAATTATTTACCTAACATTACACTATGAACATTTCCTATGGTTAATTTTTTTCTAAAACATCATTATTGGCAATATTCTATCATATATGTGTACTATAATTTATTGAAGCATTCCATGTTGTTGGACATTTAAGTTGTGTCTGATTTTTTACTATTTAAATGATGTTGCATACAAAATCTTAAAACATTACAGATAAAAGCTTAAATCCCCTTTGATTTCCACCCTAATCCCAGTCCCCTCCTCCTTTCCAGGAATATATTCACGTGCTAAAATTAATTTCTAAAAAAGAAAAGCATGTTGAAGTCTGAGCAGTAATATATGAAGTTGCTGGCATTAAAATAGGTATTCATATTATTATAAAAAGAAAAAAAAAGGAAAAAGAGGCAGAGAACAGTAGAATCCTAGCACTTTGGGAGGTTAAGGCAGGAGGATCACTTGAGGCCAGGAGTTTGAGACCAGCCTGGGTAACATAATGAGACCCCATCTCCACGAAAAATAAAAATAAAAAAATTAGCTAGGCATGGTGGCATGCATGTGTAGTCCTAGCTACTTGGGAGGCTGAGGGAGGAGGATTGCTTAAGCCCAGGATTTTGAGGTTGCAGTGAGCTATGATGGCGCCACTGTACTCCAACCTGGGTGACAGAGTGAGAGACCCTGTCTCAAACAAACAAACAAACAAAAAACACCAAAAAAAAAAATAGGAAAAAGAACAAAATGATGCTCTGAAAATTCTTCTACAGTAATTCGTAAAAATCTCTGATTATTTCCTTTAGCTAAACTCTTAGAGAAGTAGAATTACTGGGTCAAAGGGTATGAACCCTTAAAGCCCATATTCCTTATTACCAAACTGCTTTCCAGACAAATTGTATGAATTTGCACTCCTGTCCATCCACAGCATATGAGAGTGCCTGTCTTGTTTCACCCTCACCATGCAGTATAATTCTAAAAACAGAATATTTTTCAATTCACTTTGATTTTAAAAATATCTGCCATATGGAACATTTTTCCTTTTTTTGTGGAGTGGGGTGGATGCTGTGAAATCAAACAATAACAGTGTGTCACAAGTCTTAAAAGGATGGGGACTATTCATTAGAGGATGATATAAGTACCAGCATGCCACCTTAATATTTCTTTGCATATGCTTTACATGAGGGCACCTGGGAGATATAGGTCATAGTTCACTGTCCCCAGGACGTGCTAAGAGGCAAACAAATCACATGACTTCTTTCTCCATCCTCCACCCACAGCATACTCAGTACCCAGCTGAATATAAGCTGACAAAAACTTGCTAACATAAACATACATATGAACTCAAGAATGTACTCTTCTATTGAGAGAAACATGCTAAATGCAGAGGTCACAATGTGACAGCTTGAGTCTGGGCCCCAGGTTCAGTGATTGGGCAGAAAAGAGCTAACCTTTGTTAGCCTTTTGTTAATCAAAACCTGCTGTGAGATGCAAGAGACTTGTCAACACACTGTCTTGACACTTGGTTTCTCCATATGTGAATGGAGAGGGGACTATAAAAGAATAACCAAGATGGAGAAAAACAGCACTCACAACTCTGCCTCACCATCACCATCTTGTCCCTAACTAACTCCAGTTCTACCAGGTCTCCCCAGAATTCCAGCTATGCCAACACACCTCGCCTCTGCTTTTTTCCCCACTATTCCCACCCTTACCCCACCCCCAAGTAGCTCTAGCTCGCATGTGTACAAATCAATTTCTTCTTAGCTCAACTAAAACAGGCCTGAATGTTTCACAAAGAAATCTACTAAGAAGCTAGGGGAACACAGCTAAACAAAACAAAAGAAATACAAAAGCATGTAAGCCTTCAAAGGGCCCTCAAAGAACTAAAGGCTAGCCACAGATTGGTGCTCTACTGGCATATCTTCTTAGTACTGAACTTGAGAACTATTAGGTAGGCACTGCTATTGATCTGGTGGGCTCCCACTCCCCTTGCACTTACATCATACCCTTCTTTCCCATTTTGAGCTCCCAGGATATCTCCCTCTAGCCCTGGGATGTTCTGCTTCCATTCATGAAGCCACCCTGCTTCCTGGATAGTGTAGCACATCATCCCTGTCCCAAAGATTCTTATCCTGAGCTACAGTCTGCACTGAACTGAGCCTACAATTGCTTCTTTTACCTTTTCTAGAACCCTCAGGGGTTCCTGGCTCCATAACTGCCCCCTTCTCACTGTGCATGTTCTCCTAAAGCAGGAATTTTTGGTGGGAGGTAGAGGGCATGAATGTGCTTCAGAAGATCTACGAATCTCTGAAATTACATCCAAATTGTGTGTATATGCATGCATATAAGAATATTTTTTTTATGGGGAGGTTTATGGCTTTCATCAAAAAACCAGCCCAGTGTGGTAGCTTGTGCTTCTAGTCCCAGCTACTTGGGAGGCTGAGGTGGGAGGACTGCTTGAGCCCAGGAGTACAAGACCAGCCTGAGCAATATAGGAAAACAGACAGACAGAAAGAAAGAAGGGAGTGGAGGGAGAGAGGGCGGAGAGAGGGAGAGAGAGACAGAGAGAGAGAGAGAGAGAGAGAGAGAGAAGAAAGAAACAAACAAACAACCAGACCATCCTCTTGGAAACAATGCAGCAGGACCTTGGTAACAAATCCTTTCTGAAATGCAACCCAATGGAAGGGAGACTACACCTGCCTTACCAAATTCACAAGATGGTCATGATCTCAGAGTGAAAAGGCTAGAAGTGATTGTTAATGTGCAACTACTATTATGGTTCCATTCTCTTATTGATTATGGCCACCTACTGCACAGCAGCTTGCCAGCTGGTTGGGAGACTCACCTATCTCCATTTCTATAAAAGCTGCTTCATCTGGTAGTGCCCGAGGAATCACTCCAGGGTCACTGAAGCTGGTCCTCAACAGCGTAGCCATGGAGAAAAGGAAGAGCATGGCAGCAAACACAGGGATGGCAGGAGACAGCTGAACAGCCAGGTAGCGGCACCTGAAGAAAGTAGGCAATCCAATATTTAATTATACCTACACTATGCTGATCTCCAACTGTCAACTATTGTGTCAATCTGATCTCCACAACAAAACGAGCAGCACCTCAAGGGCAGGGACCGTGTTTCTTGCCTCTCTTGAATTACCCAAAACTGCTAACATATGGTTCTACACATAGTGGGAGCTTGACGAATACTTCATTGATTGATGCTACCTATAACATGTAAAAGACAATCTCAAAGGACCTCCCCTACCCTGCCAAGCTCAGTCCTATCAGCCTGCCGGGAGGCACATTTCCTCTGCCTCAGGAAAGGCTCACACTTGCTAAGGATAGGAAAGCAACTGAGTGTGGATTTGTAAGCACCACAGGTTGATCTCACTCTGGGAATGTCCAGAGTTTTTCACACACAGTCATCTGGCATTAGGGCTGAGCTCAATGAGGCGAGAGAAAAGATGAGGACCAATCAGGAAGGAGGCTCACAGTGTCAGGCAGAGGGTTTCTCAGCTGGCTTCAAGACCAGTGAAAAGCTTCAGGGCTGCTGACTCTGCAACATCCATTCCTCTTGTCTCCTTAATTAGCTCAACTAGTAGGTGACTAATGACCATCAGCAAGGGAATAAGAAAATCTTATCTCCTTAGTACCCTTTCCCAATGACATGTTCACTCCTCTCTTTCCTCATAATGCACCATTCCTCTTCCTCTCTGGATATCCCAACTCTATTCATCTTTCAGGTACCATCTTTGTCATCATCGCAGCTACAATTTATTGAGTGTTCGCCATATGCCGGGCATTGCACTAAGCTCTTTGTATACATTTTCTTGTCCAATTCTCACACTAAACTTATTAAGCAGATTCCATTACACCCATTTGATAGATGAAGAATCTGGGACTTAGAGAAGTCTTGCCTCCTCCAAAAGGCCTATGCTAAACAGCACTAATCTCTCCCTTCTCTACTTCCTGTAGTCCTCACTTCCAGATCCTTGTATGATTTCCCAGCTATTTCTCAGTATGTTGACTGCATCTCCCCCAAGACTTTGTAAGAGCAAGAACATGGTCTCACTGGACCAAGAATGCTTACGTTCGAATTCTGGCTTTACCAGCTCTTAATTGGGTGACTTAGTTAACTTCAGTCTCGTTATCTGAAAAATGAGAATAATAACAGTACTTGATGGGGTCACTGTGTGGATCAAATGCACTCATATAAAGTGCTTAGAACTGCACTTGACACGTAGTAAACACTAAGTAAATGTTAGCTGCTAACATCATGATTCTGTATCTCCCAGAGCTAAATACAAGTAAGGGAACAAAGCTATCAATAAATACTTGTTGATCTGAACTGAATTTCAAACCAAATAAATGGGAATATGTGATGAGAGTTATCACTGACCTATTTTTATTCTCCTCCTCCTGAGGCACATTTCTCCTTGAAAACAGAGATTTCACTTGGAGGCAAACTATAAGTGGATGAGCAAGGAGCGGAGGGAGAGCGGAGAAAGTAAGCTAAAGGAAAAAGCTTACCTCATCAGCATAGGGAATAAGCAAGCTGCTATCCATTCAGAGCAAATGTTTAACCCCAGGTTGTATATCCGCTGCAGTTTTGGAACAACCCCCATGAGAGCCTCCCCTGTCTCCCCACCACACACACACAACTGCATGGAGGGATGCAAACCAAGTGTATATTAGGCTAAGCGGTTTGTGACGAAGGTGAACATAGGTATTGAACCTAGCAGATGATTTTAGTGGCTTTTTAGTTCGCTTGCTTATTTTTAACAAAATCCTTAAGTCTTAGCTTGCTTTTTAATGATTTACTTCCTTCTCCTAAAAGCCAAGGGTAGGGAGAAAAATTTGGGGAACTAAATGATCTGGCAGCTGAGTTCAGGGTAATCAAGGTTCTTGAGTATCATTAGCTTGTGTATTATCCTCTTTTCCATTGCACTCCTTCACTGGTGCAGATAATCAAAATGGGAATTCGAAATGAAAATCACCTCCAATTATCAGGGACCCAAAGGACACAGGAGGATCATGAGGCTTCCTTTCATGAATAAGCCAAGTGAAATCACCACACTAACAGCAAATAGCCATCTTCCTAGTCGCTGCCCATCACTAAGATCACTCTTGAAAACAAAGTAGTAGTGTCTCCAGGACTCAAACTGCCCTGGGTATACAGTCTCCAATCAAAAGTCTTAGAAAAATCAGACCTGTCTAATTGGTCACAAAAGAGAATTTAATTTTTTATTAAAGGGAAAAGATACAAAATGAGTAGAACAATCACAAAAAAAATTTCAAAATTAATGCTGGCCCCCTGCACAGAAGGACCCAAGCTTAACTAAGTCCAGTTCCAACACCTGCTTATAGGCCAGACAAAGGACAACTTAGATTTGAATTATGCTACGCTATCAAAGATAAAGGTCTCTGTAATCCCCACACAGACTATCTTCTGCACCTGCTAAAACAATCCACTCTGTATGTCAACAAGTACACAACAGGCCCATTGTATTGTTCTCCTCCAGAGATGAGGCTACTGGCAGCCAGTTGTCTCTAGTGAGTGGGTGTGGCTGGGAATGCAGATGTGGGACCAGCAGGCCTTTCTACTCCAAGTAAGGGGAAACTTCAAGAGCCAGTAGCTAAGACTACTGGGAACTACAACTGGTAGCGTCTGTCATCAAAAGTTATGATTAAAAAAACACCCCTCTAGGGTGGGGGAATTGGAGAGATGTTGGTCAAAGAACACAAAATTTCAGTAAGGAAGAATAATTTCAAGAGACCTATTGCCCCGCATGGGGACTATAGTTAATAACACTATACTGCATACTTGAAAATTGCTAAGAGAATAGATTTTACATGGTCTCACCACAAAAAAACAAGTATGTGAGATAAAGCATATATTAATTAGCTTGATCTAGCCATTCCACAAAGTATACATATATCAAAACATCATGTTGTATACCATAGATATATATAATTTTTATTCATCAATTAAAAAAAAATTTAATATCTCCCTAAGTTAGTCCCATAATTGCAGTAAGCTGGAAGTCTATCTCTGACAGGAATAAGCTGTGAGAAGATTTAATGGTAATTCCCTACTGACCTCAAAAATCAGGGGTATCCTCAAACATCACTAATTTGTCTTGGAGAAAGACTGGATCTGTCATCCACAAACATAAGCTAATTGTTTTTGAAACCCCCTAGTGCTTTCTGTCTATATCACTTCTTCGAATAATGATATCCACACACTTCTTGGAACAGAACTGTCCTTTGTCTTCAAAGTACCAAGAGGCTTTCCTCCTTCCAGGGGGTTAGAAGTTCCTATTCTCCCTTGTGAGTTTTATAAATGCAACCATGTTCCAACAAAGTCTTCAATTCTGCCACCTGAAGAGACATCATCATTTTAAGCCATCCTCTACCAACTTCTTGACTGGGCTCAGGATTCCATAGCTGGGCCAGACAACTGGACTGTCACATGTCCCCACAGGCCACATGGTGGTACTGATCAGCAGTAACCAGCAGTGCCAGGCTGGGCTGGTGTGTCATGTCCCATCCCCCATCCCTAGCATGCTAGTTCATTGGAGAGATGACGATAATGACACAGACTTCAATTCACATGAGAAAACTCAAAAGAGATTCGTGAGTGGAGCTGGTAAGAAATGGGACAGATTCCACGCCTCACAGACTGGCAGCTTGGATTTGTTCTATATAATACTCTGTTTCTAAGTCTTCCTAATAGCTTTCTTGCTATATTTCTGATCGTTTGTTCTTTTATCAGTGTAATCAATCAGCCAACAAGTATTTACTGGTCTAAGAAATGAAGAACAAGAGAAACAGGAGTTAATTTTGTTGGGGAAAACATAACTAACACATAAAACAGCTAAAGAATAAGACTGACAATCAAGTGTTTGAATGGTGACTCAGACTCTAAGGACTGTAAGTGGTCAGAGAAGAGCTCTCTTGGGGAAGCTGGTGGCTGCTTGAAACTGCTCAAATAGCAGCTGTTAGGGATGGCTTTAAGGAAAAGCTGTGCTTGGAACAGCAGAAGGGGCGCAAGGATCAGAGCCCCATGATGCCCTTTGGTCACACATGAGAGAAATAAGCCTTTGCTATAAGACTTCCCTGATATGAACGACCATCTGTCCTCTTACTATCTACTTGCTATAGACAAAACGTTTGTGTCCCCCCGCCCAAAATGCACATATTGAAATCTTAACCCACGGAGTGATAGTATTTGGAGGTGGGGCCTTTGGGATGTGATTAGATTACCTAAGGCTCCACCCTCATGAATGGGATTAGTGCCCTTCTAAAAGAAACCCTGGAGAGCTCCCTCACCCCTTCCACCACATGAGGACAGAGGGAAGATGGCCATCTATGAACCAGGAAGTGGGCCCTCACCAGACACCAAATCTTCAGACACCTTGATCTTGTACTTGCCAGCCTCCAGAACTGTGAGACATCAATATCTGTTATTTACAAGCCACCCAGTCAATGATAGTTTGTTATAGCAGCCTGAACAGATTAAGACATTATCTCTAGAGCACAATAAACATGCAGAACCACACGTAAGATTGTTCCAAGGTTCTTCTAATGACACTCAGAGTCTGCTGAGAGGGAAAAAGTTCCCCTTAACACTAAAAACATAATTTAAAATTAGCCTCCAAATTTACTGCTATGTGAAGCTCAGAAAAAGGCACAACCCTCTTTTGCTCTAATAGCAATGAAGAAAATTAACCAAATAGGGACATTTTCAATTCTAAGGTGATAAGCCATCCTCTCACAAAGGAGGATCAAAATCTCTATCCAGGCAAACCTTCTCAGTAGTTGCCAAATTTCAGTTATAATAACAAAGCTCAAATTTCAATTATAATATACCCCAGTTCAAGAACTTAGAATCATTCCCTGCTGCCTATTATATTAAGCCCCAAACTCCACAGACCAATATTCTGAGGCCCTCCATTAACTGGCCTTATCTAATCATCATCATAAGGCTCCTGTCTTGTCACTGCTCTATT